TAGTAAAAGCAAAATCTGTTGATCAGCACTGACTGCGTGGCTCGTTTCGGGACACTTTTCCAAACCGGATATAAGCTCCTTCCTAAAACCATTACGAAGTTTTGTAAGTCATTTTCATATTGACATATGTTTTTTTTTTTTTCTAATAACAGCTCATTGCGGTCAAAGTTCAAATTCCGTCCATGGATCTGGAACTGAAGTTGATTTACGAAAAAGCTTCCATTGATGTTGAACGGCCAAGCTCATGGCTACACTAGACCTAAAATTTCAAAGGTATTGCATTTGATATTTCGTTTTATGTTAGGGACCAGTCTTTATTTTTCCCCGGAGAGGGGGGGGGGTGAATGATTTTGGGGGAATATGATTTTGGGGGAATCAGTCGTCAACAGAGTATAAAGGGGGACTGTAGAAAATTGGCTACCGGTTGACTATCTGTGGGGGAGGGGGGGTAAGAATGTTAGAGAGGCTTATGGGAGGGTCAGATAGGTTTTATCATGGCATATTAAAAAAATCTGTTACCCCCCTCCCCTCCCATGCAACAAATAATGACCGGTCCATGAAGCACTATACTAATAGAACTACTTTTTTTCTGGTTTCACTTGGCCAATAACTTTAAATTATCATTGCCTGATTTTCAAGTGCAAGAAAATCCCTCAGTATCTCGGAAACACGACATGCTCTGACCATGAGGCTTTCGAGATCACAAATCCTGGATTGATATCTTAGATGTGGAACTTTACAGTGACAATAATGACCCAGGTATACGACGGTACGGTGGAATTGACCTCAGTGATGTGGAAGAAATACACTACGGTCTCAAGGTTAGTGACCGGGAAAGTGTAGGATGGGCTTGAGTACACCTACATTGCAATGGTTAATTGGACTCGGGGGAAAGTCGCGTGGTTTTCAGACTTAGCGTGGAACAGAGTAAGATAGCTCGGAAAATTGTTGTGGAACTGTGCCGAGTAGTGGGCTGAGGTTACCTGGAATGGACTTCAATGGATAGCTGAAGTTATCTGGAATAGACTTCAATGGTTGGCTGAGGTTACCTAGAATGGACTTCAATGGATAGCTGAGGTTATCTGGAATAGACTTCAATGGTTGGCTGAGGTTATCTGGAATGGACTTCAACGGTTGTAGCAAGAGTACAAGGACAGAAGGGCTGCTGCTAATATGCCACCTAAACCAAACAAACCAATATGGCAGCCGAAAAGGAAACATAAGAAAAAGAAAAGAATCGATGACTGGTAGTCAGTCGCCAATCATGTTTACTTTGTTTTGCTGACTGGAATATGAAAAACAACCAAAAAAAATTTAGAAACCATGGAAATCTGTTGACTCAGTGAAAATCATCCCATAATCTTTGTCTTCTGTCAAATTCAGTTTTTTGATACTGAAAACATACTTCAATTACTGACTTTTGAGTTTTCTTCCATCAAAGTTGACCCTTGGAGTTTATGTTTGTAGTTTGGTCGAGTTTGGAGCGAAGCCTTGGTTTGCATTGTAAATTAATTAGAGAAATCTTCATTCCTGCTATTCACATGTAATTACGCCTTCCTAAGAAGATCAAGCGAAGAGACTGAACCACGAAAATAGAATGAAAAGCAATCCGATAGTGCTCGGGTCGTTCTTGTCTTCGCTTTGCTCTCGCTCTCTCCCTCAACCTCGTTCCCAGGGCTTTTCCCTTTTTGAATTTTGGCGGACGGGAAAATTAAAAAAAGCGAAAAGCCCTGGGAACGAGGTTGTCTCTCCCTCTCTTTCTCCTAATCTACCTGGTAAGTTTAACTATC